TTTATAGGATTTTTTATAAGGTTATAGTTATTAACTATATAAATAGTAGCTATAGTATTAATATAAAAATTAATTACTTTTTATTATTATTAATATAACTCCTTATTTTTCTTTTTTCCTTAATAAAAAATTAGTTAATTAAATAACTTAAAAAAGGATTATTAGTATTATTATTTATATTAGTAGTTTAGTTAACCTATATAAGTAGGTATTATAGTTTACTCTATATATATTTCTCCCTATACTTTAAACTTAATAGTAACACTTTAACTTATACTTAATTTTAATAAAGTAAATAAATAAATCTTAGTATAACTAGTTATTAACTTTTAGCTTAACTTATCTTTAGCTATATAGAAGAGGGTAAGTAGGTAGGTAGTAGAGTAGTAAAATATACTAGTAAGAGTGTTATTTATAATACTATTATCTAATTATAAGAGTATTATTTATAATATTATAAAGGCGTTATCTATAACGTAAAATACTAATAATATTTATAACTTAAGTAGCTAGAGCTTAGTAATAGCTTAAACTTATACTTAAGAATATAAGCTTAATAGTATAATTCTTTACTATTATAGCTAAAAGGGTTCTTATAGCTATAATATGAAAACTTAATTACTACTTTAAATAAGGTTTTAAGTCTATTCCTTATATTCTCCTCCTATATATATAGTAACTATAATATCCTTCCCCCTCTTTAAATATATATATAAACTAAGTAAAGCTAAATTAGATAACCTAATCTATAAAACTAAAGTTAAAGATATTAAGGGCTCTAATTATAGCCTATTTACCTATATTAATAAGATAACCCTTTTTAAATTTACTAAATTATACTTATTTAAAGCTATAACTAATAAAAATGATCTATAGTAGTTATATAGCTTTAAGATTAATATAGATATAGTTAAGGCTACTAATAATAATTCTAATACCTATAAATATCTTATAAGCTTCTTTAAGATAGCTAAAGTAGCTTAAGTAGTTAGTAAATTAAGAAGGGTGAATCTAATATTAAAAGTATAGCTAATAGTAGTAAGGCTCTTCTTATATTAAGACTATATAGTAGGGTAGAAGATATTATAATAATATAATAGTATAGAGGCTTTAGGGCTTTTATACTTAGTAGAGCAATATAAATATCTAAATAATAGAGGAAATAATAGAAGATAGGTATAGATTAAATATAATATATAGATAGAAGTAGCTAGAGAAAGATAGTTAACTTAGCTTATTATAATAGTTAAAGTTAGAGGAGCATAGAGGTAAAGAAAATATTTAAGTTTAAACTACTTATAGTTATATAACCTAAAGGTTATTAGTAGAGGGCGAGAGAACTAGTTTAGCTTTTATAGTTAATACTAATTAAATTTTATAATATAAGGCTAGTAGCCTAGTATTTCATTATTTATATTATTAAGAGTAATATAACTTATATTCTTAAAAAGAATATCTTTTTCTTCTTTATTAGAAGATAAATCTATTAAATCTATAAGATTCTTAAGATTATTAAGAGATATATAGAGAGTAATATTATCTATAGTAATTATATTAACTACTTCTTTTTCTTTATCTTTAGTATTAGTAATATTAGTAGAAGGTTTTTTCTACTAACTAAGTACTTTTTTAGGATATAGAAAAGTATAGTTTTTTTTAATATAGTTTATTTTCTTATAATTTTTATAGTATAAACTTTTTTTTTTTTTAGAGTTTTTTATTTATCTTATTTTTATTTTTCTTTTTATTATTTTCTTAGTTTTTATTTTATTTTTTATTTATATTATTACCCTTAGTAGTANATTAACTACTTCTTTACCTCTTTTTCTCTTATACTTATCTATAAGATTAATATATAAAGAGTCTAAGTTATAAGTAGAAGGGTTAGTCCTAAGAAACTAAGTTATAGAGGTTATAAAAGCTTTATAAGTCTTATTTAAACTATTAAGTATATAAACTATAATTACTTAATTTAATAGTTTAAGCTTATTATAAGATAAGTTATCTATAAGTTCTTTTATTTTATTTATATAATCTTCTATAGATTTAAAGTTATCTAAAGAGGTATNATTAAAGAACTCTTTATAGGTTAAAAACTTATTTATAAAACCTATAGACTTATATAGGGATTTTAGATAATTCTAAGTTATATAAACATCTTTATTATCTTTTATAACCCTAAGTGGACTATTATTATAGAATAACTATATATAACTTAAAACTTTATAGTTTTTATCTAAATTATTTTTAGATATAGGTTTAATAAGGTTTATAGTAATATCTTTACTATATAGTAGGGCTTTTATATATATAGCTTATACTTTATAGTTCTTAAAGCTTATAAGCTTAGGGAACTAAACTTTAGGATTAGTTATTATTACTTTATTACTATATAATATATAGTTATAAGTTTTATAAAGGTNTAATAATAAGGTTATATAACTAAAGAGCTATTATATATATAATATAATAGTTCTTATAGTTAAGTTATAATAGTTATAAACCTAAAAAGTTAAAGTTTAACTAATAAAAAGAGTAGTTTTTATTCCTTCTCTTTAATTAATATCTTCTTNAAGAGTAGTTTTTATTCCTTCTCTTTAATTAATATCTTTTTTAACTAAACTTCTATTAAATTAAGGAGATATATATCCTATATAGTAGATTAATTAAGAAGAAGTCTATTATACTATAAGTANAGATATATATTTTATATAGTAGATTAATTAAAAAGAAGTCTATTATACTATAAATATAAGTTTAAATTAGATTAAGAGTAAATTAAAGGATAATTTAAAGAGATAATCTAAGAGATATAAATTAAATAAAGTAGTAATAAGAAATTATTTATTTAAGGAAAGATTAATAGAAGTATAATTAATTTATATAGGATTAATTATATAGATTTATAAGAGGTATATCTTATAGAACTAAACTACTAGTCTAGTTAGTATATTAGCTTCTATATAAGTAGTATAGATAGAAAAGTGTTTAAAAGATCGATTTTTAGTATATATAACCCTTAAATAGAGGTAGGGCTTTATAGATAGGTAGGGAAGAGGTAAAGAAATAAAAGGAATAGAGGTTATCTCTAAACTAAGCTTATAACCTATTAGTATAAGTATAAGCATATTCAGGGGCGTAATATATACGCCTATATAGTATAAAGTTATAGATAGGCTTATATTATAATAAAAGGTAATAATCCTAAGCATTTATAGGTATTTAATTATATAGATAATAATAAGGAAATTAATATATCCTAATAACTCTAGTTATTATTCTTTATAGGTTTCCTCTTCTAATAAGGAAAAGTAAAGAGAAAGATAATTTAAAATATAACTTACTAAACTACTAGTTATATAAAGTACTTATATAACTATATATATTATATAATTAACATTATAGTTATAAGTTATAATAAATAGAGTATTTTTATATAAGGTTTAATACTTTAAACTNAGGTTTAATACTATAAACTTTATTAGTTTATTTTATATAGAATATTAAAGTAAGTTAAGCCTTATTATTATTCTTATATTATTATTATTATTATAAAAGAATATTATATATTAATATCCCCCCTTNATAGTAAAAGTTAATTATAACTTACTCTTTTATTTAGTTTCTTTATTTATTTATATCTATTTTATAGCTTAAATTATTAGATTACTTTTATATAACTTTATTAGAAATAAATTACTTTACTTATAGAGTAAAAATAATAATAGAGAGAAGAAATAGATTGAAAAGAGTGCTAGTATCAAGAGCTAAGAATAGCGTACAGTAGGCCCTATCCGTTAGACCCTTGTGGCCCCTAAAAGCATAAAGGAATAAGAATGACCCTACCTCTGTCCAGAAGGGGGGCCCCTCCGCGTAGGTAGGCACGTAAGGTAGGTCCACTCGAGCTCTAGGTACTTACTGACTTCCATTGCCTCCAGCCATGGTACGCGTTGCTTCTGTCCACAACACCGTCTTGGGCATGATATTGGATGCTTGCGATAACACCCTTTCAAAACACCTCGTCCACCATTTGCACCCTGCGCCGCTTTTCTCCGTCGACCACCAGCTTCCAGTGCGCCCGATTCCATTCCCATTGCTTCGCCCTAGCGCGCACGCATTTATCCCTATCCTAGCAGGCCCGCATCTCCTGAAACCTCCTTACAATACTTTGTCGTCTCTCTTCCCACTTTTCGACCCGACTCGAGCTCCCTGCCCGGTAACCCCAAGCCGTGTTGCATTGCGAAGCATCAAGCACCGCAGACTTGTCCTGCGATCGCTATTCCTGTCGCTGTTACTGTTACTGGAACACCCCGCCAATTGAGAGCTCCATCTCCCAACTCCTGAAGTCACACCATCTCTCCTGCCCGTCATTCACCTTTGTGCTTTTCCCGACCTAACTTCCCCTGCACTTTCCGCTTGCCTTACGAGAAGCTCCGGCTTCACTTTGGACCAACATGGCAACGAACAATATGCACAACCTTACAACCCTCATCAAGCGGTACGCGGCTATCACCCACATTCTGCGCAAATCAACCTTGCCATCAACCATGATGCGGCAGATTCGATCACTTCTGCTAAGCGCTCGCCCCTGCCTTTGCCCGACGTTACCTGGACAGTGCTTTGGAAGCTCCTAACTTTGAAAATAGGCTCGAAGCTGCCACTGCCAGACTCGAAGATATCGCCTCTTCTACCATCGAACTCCCTCAAGCTGTCCCCTCGCTGAACCAATCCGTTGCCACGCCGCCGTCAGCCTCCAATACGTCTTTGCCTGCGCCGCCTCCGCCGCAAGCTGCCGCAGCTCCCCAAGCCCCCCCTGAACCCGTTCCCGAGTCCATCGAAGAGTTTGATCAGTTGTTAGCCACAACCGTTGACAAATATGTCAAAATCAGCAAGCAGCTGGGTGGTCTCATTGCCGATCAGGTCCGTCCGACGCAAGATACATCAAGCGAAATTTACAGGTGATGCTGATACAGTGTCCGCAACATAGGCCGCCAAGGTTTTGCAGGGGTTCCAAGCTCAGCGTCACTTCTTGCTCATCACCACCAAGGCCAAGAAGCCCGACTTGAATGGCGCCGAGATGGCCGTGTACCAGGACCTGCTCAAGCCCATCAACGAGGCTCTCGTTGCCGTCAGCAACATAAAAGAATCCAACCGAGGTTCTCCCGTCTTCGTGCAGCTCAGCGCTGTAGCTGAAGGATCTATGGTCCTCGCATGGGTCACCGTCGACAATCGTCCTTACAAGCACGTTGAAGATTCTTTGGGTTCTGCACAATTCTTTGGTAACAGGGTATTGAAGGAGCAAAAGGACAAGTAAGGTGTCTCCTGGGTTGATGGCTTTAACCAAGTGTATTTGTCTATGCTGACTGGCAACTCACAGGGACACCCAGCAGGTGGAGTGGGTTAATGCTTTCTACCAGGTTTTCCGCGATCTGGCCGAATACGTCAAGCAGCACTTTCCCAACGGTATCCCATGGAACCCGAAGGGCCAGCCGGCTCAGGAGGTTGCCAAGTCCCTTACGGCGTCTGCCACGGCCGTCGCCGCCGCCGCTCCTCCCCCACCGCCTCCCGCAGGCGCTTTGCCGCCGCCGCCACCACCTCCCGGCCCTCCTCCAGTTCTTGAGATTAAGGAAGAGACTGGCGGAAAAGGTGGGCTGGGTGCAGTCTTCTCCGAGCTGAACAAGGGCGAGGCTGTGACCAAAGGTCTGCGCAAGGTTGACAGGTCGGAGATGACGCATAAGAACCCCTCTCTTCGTGCCAGTTCTACAGTGCCGGAACATGATGGTTCAGCGCGCGGCAAGAGCCCAGCCCCTCAGAGAAAGCCGAAGCCGGAGAGCATGCGCGTTAAAAAGCCACCCAAGAAGGTGCTTGAGGGCAACAAGTGGACTATTGTAGGCCTCATGCAATCAATTTACGCGCCGAAAGTGCAACAGCGGCTGACTTGATCGGATAGGAAAATTTTGAGAAGGAGGCCCAGCCGATTGAGATCGAAGCCTCCATCTCTCACTCAATTCTCATCAGCAGGTGCAACAATACCACCATCATTGTAAAGGGCAAGGCCAATGCGGTCACCATTGAGAATTCAACGCGTCTGTCCCTCATCGTGGAGTCTCTGATATCCACAGTGGATGTTATCAAGTCCCAAAACTTTGCGTTACAAGTGCTTGGTGCTGTGCCGGCCGTCTTGATGGACTCGATCGACGGTGCCCAGATTTATTTCAGCAAGGAGAGCACGGGAACCAAGATTTACTCGAGCAAGTCCTCCGGCATCAACCTTAACGTTATCTCAGGGGAAGACGAGGACTACAAGGAGGTGCCTTTGCCGTCCCAGATTTGCTCCTACTTTGACGAGAGCAAGGGTGATTTGGTCAACGAGATTGTATCTCACTCTGGCTAGTCCGACATTCTTCCGATACAAATCACAAAAGAATTGAGCGGCATCACGGGCGTCAGCATGGCGGCGGTTTGCTCATTTTTACACCGCAAGTCAACATCCGTTTGTACCTACAAGAACCCAACGGAGACTTCTGGTTTTGGCCCCCTTCAATTTCTCTTTCGACTCAGCGTGCTTACCCGAGCGCTTTCACTCGTGTCCCATCCCCATCCTGTCTATAGAGGGATTCGAGCTCGAGAAAACGGAAGCAAATACAATACTACCTACCTTTGGCTACTTGTTCTGAAGGATTGTGCAGAGTTACTCAAGCGATACGTATTGGAACAGGTCAAATTGATCGCCAAGGTGATCGTCAAATTGGTTGACAAACCTGGTCCGTCTATAATTGACACGCTTCTACTGTATAGATGCTAAAAACCACTTTCGGCCGCCCCGACACAGGCGCACTCACAAATACGAGGTTGTACAAGAAGTATTGACCGCGTCTATTTTGATAACATCCCGGTTCCGCTTCCGCCGAATCTATAGCTTAGCCTTTGCTGGCTTAACTGTCGGCATAAGCAGATCGCGCATGTCGCCAGCGGCTTCATTCAGGAAGAAGCTCATCCGCTGGCTGCCGAGACCCTTGGAAACAACGTTGAAGTTGATGCTAAATGTGTCAGTTTATGAACGGCACTGGTGACGTATTCATGGCGGCATACCTGTTTTCGTTGATCATGTAGGCGATACCAAAGCCAGCATCAATGACCTGGCTCCATCCATATCCGTTGAAAAACTCGGAGCTCAGCTGCGAGGTTGAGAGATACCAAGAAGCGGAATACGAGAACGCAGGATCTTGGTAGATGGCCGGCATCTCTTGGCCGGGCTCGAGAAGCTTCTTGAGCCCGAAAAGATGCCTGTCAACACCCTTGCCATCCGAGGCCGCTGTGATGTACTCGAGGTGGGCATCGATAGCCTGGCGGAACAGGTCAACCTTTTCCTTATCCTCGATATTAGGATCCGCCATGGCATTGCACCATGTAACCGACGCATCCGAAACGGTCCGGCATGTCTCGGTCCGGCCTTGCTGGAAGCGGCGGGTAGCAGCCGACTCGTAGGTGGGCCGATTCTTGCCGTACATCTTGTGGTAAGCCAGTTGGATAATCATCTGAACATATGCGTCGGGCGAGCACTTGAATTTCTTGATGAGACCCTTGCCGTAGCCTTGATACGCCTGGACAGCCAGCTCATGCTGGCCAATTACATCATGGAAGTCCTTAGTCGCCCGGTCGATCTCCGCCTGGACCTCCTTCGTCACATCGAACTTGACAACCTGAGGTTCTGGCAAGTTAGAGCGGATGGAAGGGTCAGATAGATCAATCTTGTTGTTAAAGATGAGGTCGTTGATGAAGTCGTTGAGGCGGTGAGTAGGGGTTCCGTCCATCATGGAGTGTTCTCCCATGAAGCCCGAGGTGGCATTGTCGTTGACGATGAACTGGCAAGGCTTGTCATACCAACGGTTTGCGCCGTCACCGTGCCAATACTGATGCGCGCGCTCCTCAAGGGTCACAGGAGAAGCATCGTCGAGACAAACAACGAAGGAAGAAGCCTCAATGGTTTCCAATGCGGCAGAGTTCTTCGGGCTGGCTTTCAGCAGGATTTCGCGTGCGTCCGCCCAAACGTCCCGGTTCTCGCTGGTGAGGGCACCAACAGCAGGCACTCGTTGGGCCAGCTCGTAAACCTTGCTAAACTGTTGTTCCAGCTCCGAGGCATTAAGCTGCTTGCCATCGACCTCATGGAGAATCTTGAAAAATTGGTTCTTACGAATGGCGATGATGTGCTTGTGCTCCTTGTGCGAGAACTTGACAGGATAGTCGGCAGGCTTTGCAGCGACACGGCTGGTGTTGAACATCCACTTGTAGCTGTCCATGCAGATCGGGAGCTTCTTCATGTACTCAGGCTCCAGAGTGCCGTCGTCAACCTCCTTCTTGAATTCGAGTACAGCCGAGGTGATGGCTGCTGCTCTCTTGGCAGGATTCCTCCGGCGACGGTCGTCGCGGTGGGAATAGAAATAGCTGACGTAGGGGACGACAGGGTCGCGGTAGCTCAGGTATGCGGCATCGTTCCACCACTCGTACAGCCAGTTTCTGTGAGCAGAATCCTCTCTGCGCGCAAGTAGCTTTTCTTGTAGCTTGCTGCCAATGCCGCCGGGCTTGACAAATTCCTCGACGGCCTTTTTGCTGGCGGCGAATTCGGACTCTGAAAGGAGAGGGTGCAGGGTCTTGACGTAACGGGCAGCAGTCTCCTCCAAGGAGGGTACGGGCAGCCGAGGCAGGGAATCCTGGAATCTCAGCATCGGTCCCTTGGACTTGTCCTCGACGTAGCCTGAGTTTGGCGACGCCGTTAGCATAGTGGTATGAGATGCGCCGTGGCTATGACTGAGCGCATTCAGGATCGACTGGCGCAGGGACGCAGAAGGACTTACCAGAAGGCAGCGAACTGTTGTTCCGCTTCGCTGCTGGCGCCATGACTGCGATGGTCTGGAATGAAAAGTAGACCGGTTAGAAAATATACGGTCGAGTTGGAGAAGAAAGAAGAAGGGAAGTACGGGCGACTGTAACGGAACACACAAGTGGGCGGAGTGGGGGAGGCAATGGGCGCGGTGTACGGGAGGAGGCAGGTGGAAAGCGAGTGTCTGAAGTATTCCACGGGGTGGGTTGTCCAACTCACCGGACGATTGAACCTTTGCAGTCGTATGTTGGATCTTGCGGTGGCAGACCTAGCCTCCAGAGCTCGCAAGATAGCCGACATGACCAATATTTGTTTAGATGCAGCGACTGGTGCGTGTGGAAGTAGTATTAAAATAGTTGGCACACGTAGCCGCAGAGATCCGCGGCAGTCGAGCAGCAAGTCAGTCGTTATGGATCGGAGCGGATCCTAGCCGTCGACAGAGTGGCTGCTTGTCACAAGCCAAAACCCAGCAACCCAGCACCCACGCGGGCCTTAATCAACCGGGGCAGGGATGTGGCGTGTGTGTGCGTGAGAGAGGTAGGTAAGAATCGGAGGCGGGGGACTGGCCTCGTGAGGGAGGGAGGTGCGGCGGCAGCGGCAGCGGTAACGGTAACGGGAGTGGTAACTGGGAAAAAATGCCTCGGGATGATGGAGGACGCGTAGACGAAGGTGGAATTGATCCAGTCGATGGACAGACAGGATGACGGCTGTCTGAGTGCGACAGCGTAGCTGCGGCAGCTGTAATGTGGTGTAGCACGGCACGTTTAGCTGAGGTACAGAAAGTAATCAGGTAACTAAGGTAGGGAGAAAGCGCCGACAAGACGAAAGGCAATAAAGATCAGGACGAGGGCATGGGAAACATCGATTGGAGAAGAACCAAGTTACGCTATTCCACGAGGGCTGGGTGCGCTTTTGTGATGTGATGCCGGACTTGATTCTGGCTTGGACTCGGAGATGGTGCTGGCGCTGGGCTTTGATCAATATCATTTCTCATCTTCCGTTCCTTCTCTTCCCTCCTGAGCGAAGGTCAATTTGCCTTGACCTGCGGATAACCAAATACCTCAGGGACGGGGAAGTACGATGGGGTACGTACGGAACAAACCTGCCCTCCCCGTGTCCAACCCCGGTTCATTGAAAGTGACTGCTCGGCGGAGCAGGAACTGGGGGAATGGGGAACCTGCACCCTGATTGCTCGTTGGTGTCCCTCGGCGCTGGGCGGTGCTGCCGGCAACCGTGGCTGATTCCGGAGCCTTTGAGCCGAGGCAAAACAGGGGGTCCTGCACTACCCCGTACGTACTCTTCTTCCTCCACTGCGGTACCCAGGTATGTACCTACCTTACCTACACAGTGTAAGACAGATATTAGAGGTTTGAAAGTCCGCTGGGTAGGCACGTGCCCCGCACCCGAGTCGTGCTGGGCTCCCCAATGAAGTGCACAGCGTGTCTTGGCCTCGATCGCCACTTGTACCACAACTAGACGACTCCACGATCGAGTTAGATGCTGCTCTTCTTGACGGGTTCGTGAGCCTTGTCCGCAACTCATCCACTTGTCCAAGCTACTTCAGCTATTAGATCTCCAACCTACGCAGTAGGCTCGGGGTTCGCCTGGGTATGCCCAGATGCGTGACCGGGCCAAACGACAACCGCGCTTCGCGCCCGCCCTTCGCGCCCGCCCTGGCAGCAGTGTCATGCGGGCAGACTCAGGCTTTGCTTCCATCTCTCCCGTCGTCGTCTTCTTTCCTCTCAGTCATGTGTTTCCCTGTCGCAGCACGGTCTAGCAGGCGACAGGCAAAGAGGGTTCTGTCACAGGGAGCCACTCAGCGGCACAAAGAACGGATGAACAAGACACCGGACTGTTCCGGACTGGGCTAACGGATGTCCTGGACGAACGGACCAGAACTCCTTTCATAGTTTCGGAGCACGGGGATCTTCGAATCCCTCCCAACCCATCTCGTAAGCCTAGACCTTGATGCTACTAATACACCCTCGAGGCGCTGCACAAAGTTGACTTTTCCGAGCCTGGAGCGTCCGCTTATCAACAAGAGAGCATACAGATAGGTAAATGGCTTTTTGTATCTAATACACGTACTTGCACTAGGAGACAATGCGTCGCCAAGCCTTCAGGAATCCCTTGGACGCCTGCCCTGGAATACCAAAACGATGTCAAATCACACCCCGCAATTATTCGTTCCATTTCCTACCTTATTCGTCGCCAATCCAAACCCTTCGGAATAGAAGAAGAAAGAAAACGGAAACATCAACCCTTCGTCGCCGCCGTCACTCGCTTCCATCATTTTTAATGACTTCTCAGTTGCTCTTGGCTACCCAATCGATGGCGATCACTCAAGCCTCGAAGCTCTTGATCTGGCCCTCGCTGCTCAATGGCTGTACTGCACTGGATTCAGGAACAGCTTGGAACGTAAGATTTGCGCCGTCCGTCATGGCGTCCTGAGCCAATTTGAGGCCCTGATCCCCACCCGCCTCAACTGCTGTCTTCAAGGAGTTCTGCACATCGCGAACACGACGCTTGAATGCAAGGCGGTCCAAAAACAGTTGTTGGCGGCCCCGCTCAAGCTCTCTTCGTTCCGCCTGTAAGATGGCCTCCATCTCGTTGAAGTACTTCAACTTCAGTTCAAGCTTTTGAAGTGTGAGGTTGGCCGCCGCTGAAACAAGCCGTGTCATCTCGCGCTCCTCATGCGACACCAGACCAGCAGCCCGGGCACCCATCGTGGCCATCGGGATCGTTGCCAGAGTCGTTGTGGTTGTAGTGGTGGTCGTGGTTGTGGTAACGTCAATCTCCATCGAGTCGCCATCTTTGTCCTTGCCCTTGCCGTTAGTAGTCGCCAGCTCGCCTGAGTCGCCTCCCTCCAGACGCCTACGCAGCTTCCGTGTGAGCTCCTCGGCCGACTTGTTGGCAGCAGCAGCCGTGCTCGCAGGATCTGCGAGACCCGCGAGGAACCCAACCACAGACATGACAGGGTTATCCACCTGGCTGAAAGGAAGGTGGCCACCCTGTGTTCCAAGCATGGCAAGACCCGTAGGTGCGTTCACAGCAAGGTCGTCTGCGTACTTGGCCTCGATGTCTAGGGACAAAAACTGCAGGACGCACTCCTCACGAGTGCGAGTGCCAACGTGGTCCGCAATCTCGTTCCAGTCGTCATCCATCCTCTCGATACCTTCCAGGAGTCGTAGGATTTCTGCATCGCTCCAAGGCGCATCTCGGTCAAGAACAGTTGTGTAAGTGGGGTTCTCCATCCTAGTGAATTGAGCACTGGTCTGGTTGCCAGGCAGGTGGCCTTCAAGGTAGCAGCTTGGGCAGACATCGTACTTGGTCTTGGAGTTGGGATCGGTTTGAGAGCTGTGATAGTATAGTCTGGTGCAATCAATACCGCAGGTATGGCAATTGACCTTAACAATAGGCGTCTTCGTTGCCTCCTCGACACCTGAGATGCCATTGGTAATTGGTGCATCTCCATTGGTCTTAGGCTCCGTCTTGTTGAGCTTTGCGCCCTTGGCGCTTGCCTCGTAAATGTTACGGCTAACCTCGAGGTTGACGTCGGTCTTGGGACCAGACGTCGCCGACGCTTTCTTCTCTGTGTCCGCGCTAGGCTTTCCAGCCGACACAACGGCATCAGCAGACGGCTGCCACGGCTGAAGACCACGGGGCGTGTCACAGATGATCTTGAAGTGGCCGGTGAATGGTGGGCCAACATGCGATGGTCTTTGCTCGGCATCAACCTGGTTCACTGTTAACCCTGATCATGGCACCACATACACCTATAAAGATGGAAACCAAAAGAAACTTACTTGATAGTTGATCAAGCCCCACTGCTCAAGAAAAGAGTGCACCCGCATGATGGCGCAGACATCTCCGGCCAGATTGCGTCGGCAAGCTGTGACAGTAAGGTATTCAACCGGGTTCAAACGATACGTGTTGATCATGAAGTCGCGGTAGTCCTTGTAAACGGCCGGGGTTTTGCTGCGGTTGCGGCTGTTAAAGAATTCAGACATGGCCTTGCGCTCGATGTCGTTAATGGCGTTCATGTCGAACCAGGTGCTGTAGCTTGGCAGGACGATGGCGTGTGTTTGAGAGATGAGGTGCTCCCTCGCCGCATTTTCCAGCGTCTCCTTGGTCTTGGAGTCCTGCCCATCCGCATCGGTTCCAGTTCCGGCATCGTCCCCCTCTTTCGATTGGCCGTCCTTGACCTCATCGCGTGCACCTGCCATGTCCTCGTCTTGGGTAGCCTCGGGCGCTGGGCCATCGGGGGCATCGAGGGGGTTGTCGGAAGTCATGCCGGGTGCAGGCGTCGCGCTATCTTGCTTGATATTGGGTTCCGCGATAGGGCCCTCGGTCATCTGGACGTCTGCTCAGTGAGGTTGATTTAGTTGGGGCTGCGTCGACAACGGGACAGTCAGACGGGAACATGTACCTTCGGCGCCATCTCCAGATGTAGTTGCAGAAGGCTGCAACGGCGGCTGAGAAAGAATTGGGTTGCTGCCGGGGGAGGCAGCACTAGATAAGCCGTAGGTAGTCTGGTCCTCCATGATAACTTTGGGCGAAGGAACCTCAGGAGGCAACGGACATCAAGGCTACCGGAAAGTCGCGAGTAAATGCAATGGCGCGACGCGCAAATCGGAGTCAGAGACAGTCGATTGGATCAATCTGTGGCATGCGACTGGCGTCTTTGGTTTTGATGATGCAGCCCACAGGTTTTACCCCTCTAGCAGCGCGTGGTGTTGATGGTGAGTAGCGAGGTGTGGTGGTTATGGAGTAGTCGCGTCTGGGCCTGGAGAAATTTTGGCGCGAGATGCTGGGGGACGGCAGGCTGGATAATAGGTATTGTTTAAGGTAGGTAGGTACTTGCGACAGACTAGGGAAGGTAAGCTGGCGCTACCAGCTCTGGGCACTGCGACCTTCTCTGGGGACCACCTTGGCTTAGGTAACCTAAAACACCACAGGTGCGTATCTTCGTACACGCACACGTGATCTCCGACGCTCTGTTCCTGAGGCTGCACGGCCGGGAAAAGCAGACATAAAGCCGATTCGTTCGACCTAGAGCCACCCCCGGCGTTTGGCCGAAGGTCCTCCCTTCTGATGACGGCACATTGGCAGTTGAGGAAGGCTTCATGCGAACTCGGCGTAGTAACCTCGGGCCGCATCAAACCGTTCCTATCTATTTGCGTCGTCCACCGCAACAGCCGGACAACGCCTGCTTCTCTCGAGTTTCGGGCGGCTCTCTCTTATTTCGAACTCAAGCATACCTTTCCGCTTTTCTATCTGTTTGAATCATTATGCTGTTCCCAACCCGAAGAGCCGCTGTCAGCGGGGCTGCTTGGGCGACCAGCGGACTGTCGGGGCTCCGATCAAGATCGACAAGGAGTCTACTATCCACTCTCGCCCTCTTGGAACAGAGGGAAGGTCAATTGAACCACGGTTCTTTGAGCGCCATCACCGCGGCGAAGAAGCTCGGCGGACCAATTCACGGTTTCGTGGCGGGAAGCAACATCAAGGGAGTTGCAGAGGAGGCGGCCAAGGTCGAAGGCGTAGAGAAGATCGTTGCTGTTGACAACAGCGCATACGACAAGGTTTGCTTCTGTCCCGAGCGGAAAATCTTCGGACATCTTGCGTACGAACTGGACTCTGACGCTGTTTTTGTTTTTTTGCAGGGCCTTCCCGAGAACTATGCGCCGTTGTTGGTCGAGAACATCAAGAAGGGCGGCTACACCCATGTTATCGCTGGACACACTGCCTTCGGAAAGAACCTCCTGCCCCGCGTGGCTGCGCTTCTGGACTCTCAGCAAATCTCTGACATTACGTCTATCGAGAGCGAAAATACCTTCGTTCGTCCCATTTATGCTGGAAACGCCATTGCCACGGTCGAGTCATCGGATCCCATCAAGATAATCACAATTCGGGGTACAGCTTTCCCTGCTGCAGAGATCGCCGCTGGTTCGGCAGGCGTCGAGGCGGGCATCGACCCTAAGTCCGAGTCTACCACCGAGTGGGTCTCCGAGGATCTTGCCAAGTCCGACCGGCCAGACCTCGCAACTGCCAGCAGAGTCGTCTCTGGTGGCAGAGGCCTCAAGTCCAAGGAAGAATTCGACAAAGTGATGCTGCCACTGGCTGACTCCTTGGGGGCTGCGGTCGGTGCGTCCAGAGCTGCGGTGGATAGTGGCTACGCGGACAACAGTCTTCAGGTAGGCCAAACTGGCAAGGTTGTCGCCCCCCAACTTTATATGGCCGTCGGCATCTCTGGTGCCATTCAGCACTTGGCAGGTATGAAGGATAGCAAGGTCATCGCGGCCATCAACAAGGACGCGGATGCTCCTATTTTCCAGGTCGCAGACGTTGGTCTTGTTGGAGACCTGTTCGATAAGGTGCCCGAGTTGACTGAGAAGGTCAAGCAGTGATATAGTATTTTGTAATCTACATAGATGAGTCTATTCATGGGTGCCTGCCTCTGTTTCGCTCACGAAAGAACATCGAGCATCGCTTTGGTGGATGTGAACTTTTCTCGTTCTTTGCCCGCAGCACGGCCATTGTCTTTCTCGGCCCTGTCTATCTTCTGCCAATCGGCCCAGGATACTCTTTTCGAGGCCCCGTCGCCAACTTCTGCACTGACCCCTGCCCATCCATGCTTGGTGTTCACGTCAGTTCCGGACAGAAATGGGAACCCGGACAACCAGTCCTGTATGATTGAGTCGCCGGTCTCGAAAGCATCCATCATGGTCGATGCGATGACTCCTGTTGGCCCTCTCTTCACCCAACCGGCGCAATAAACGCCAGGGGACGCGTCGAATTCTGATGAGTTCCCCGAGGTATGCCGCAAGACTCTGCCACACCCATCGTTCATGACAACACCACGCCGGTCATCAAAGGCAAGGCCCGCATCCTGCAATCCCGGTATTGAGACGGATTTGTAGCCGATAGAACGGAAGACCAGGTCTGAGGGCACAGTTATCGTTTCCCCGGTTAAGCGAACCTGTGCACCGGGGTCGAACTTGGAGGACAACTCCGTTCGTTCCAACCGGGTACTACCGACATCGGACGGAGATTCCGGGCTGGCGAGAAACTCTACTGGGCTCAGGCAAAAATCGAGAGACCAAGACCTCGCGACATCATTGGGCCGGACAGCTGAGCCTTTGGCTACCACCTCCATCAGTCTCCTTGCCGTTCTGGGGAGCGTCTTGATTTCAGGGGGGAGGAGGGTTGGGTCGACGGGATGGAAAGCAAGACTGGGAATCTTCATCAGCTCCCTGACCTCTTTAATGGTGAAAGCTGCCTATTGAGTGTTATCAACCACGAGCGTACGGCGGAGACTTTGTTTTACGCTCACCTGCATAGGCCCACGCCTTCCAATGACATGAACCCTCTTGATGCGGGAAACGGCCAGGTTGGCTAACGCTTCTTTGGTGATGTCTGTTTTGCGTAAGACATCTACATCTTCGAGAAGCATGCGAGCTACATCCAAAGCAACATTTCCCTGCCCGACGATAACAGCTTCGTCGCCTTTGGTCAAATCTGGCGCCAGCCCGGCATACTCGGGAAGTCCATTGTACCAGCCAACGAATGAACGTGCAGAATATATGCCCCGAAGCTCAGATTCCCCCGGAACACCAAGTGTCCTATCTTTTGCTGCCCCGTATGACAACAAGACAGCATCGTAATGGCGTAGTAGACTCGAAAACGGAATAGTGCAGCTATGCGGATGAAAACCTGCTTCGCCAACGGAAACATTGCCAACAAATGTGAAATTGGGAGAGCCAGCGACCTCCTCAAACTTATCTTGGCATTTCTACGATGGTTGCGTTAGTCCAGCCGAACTACGTGGGTGAGGAAAGAAAGCAACCTTGACTTCAGGGTGATCTGGGGCGACGCCGAAGCGGACAAGACCGAAGGGAACTGGCAATGACTCAAACATGTCAATCTTCGCGTTTGGGAGCCGAGACATGACGCGGTAAGACGCATAAAAACCAGCGGGGCCGGATCCTACAACAGCGACGCGGAACGAGTCTTCGGGAGAACGAGTTCGCCTTGTGATAGACGCTTCGGTGCTGATCAGGCGGACCGCTGAGTTGCCGGTGCCCACCTTAGGCCGAGCATGGCTGCAGCCTAGAAGCGGCCGGACTCGGGGTAGGAGGAGCATGGCGGTGCTGCTGGGCCGGTCAAGCAATGATAAATCTTGCCCGCTGCGTCGCCAGCTGAGTGTATCGTCGAAAATCCCAGTGATTGCAACGATATGGAGATAAGAACTGTGCGATGAGCCCGGTTAATGAGTGACGGATGGGAGACAGACCAAGCAGAAAAGGTTCAATGATGAGTAACCGTAGCAGGCCGGACGAGTTCGGATATAGTACAGGGCCCGCCCCCAACACGGGCCTCTTGAAGATGTGTGAGAAGCGGTGTTGCCGGGGACGAGGGATGACGGAACCGCAAAAGCCCCGGATTGTCCGGAGACGTGAAGATGCAAATATGTGGCTAAGATCCAAGGTGCGTAGGGAGGTAGGTACGTAGTCAAGCACATCCTCAAATACTCAAGTGACAGCGCTCAGCTCGCTCACTGCGACCTTGTCTTCCAGGTTACCTGTAAAAGACTAGTGCGCCGGGATAAAAGTGGATATGTAACTGAACTAGGAGGTCCAAAAAGCAACTTTCAGAGCCTAGCCCTGTGAGAAACGCCATCTTTGGGCTCTGGGCCAGGTTTCAGGCGCTGTGCATCGTGTTAGACGCCCGTTGCTGTGGCAACAAGTGTGCCTTCAAGCTGCGTTGGACGTGATGTTGATAACGGGCAATGACTGTCAAGCCAGGCACACTTGAGTCCTTGATTTGCCCTGGTTTATCTTACTCTCACTTCCTGACCTGCATCACTCTAGCATCTTGCTAGCTGAGGTCGACACATCCCTCTGTCTCGTCTTACCCCAAGGTATTCTTAACTACCAAGCCTCTCGCTCTCACCTTACGGGCATTCCCCTCCTTCATCATCCCACATGCTCAATTTCTCCCAGAGACCTCTGGCAAAGTCCCAACCACGCACATTGAACTGACTGGATCAAGCCAGCGGCATTCCAGCCAGCTCACCTCAACGCCGCCTTCTGTGGAAGCATTCCTGAAAACTGCACACTCACACACACTCTCTATCCGTCTCTCTCTTTTGTTGCTGCGACTGAGGACGTAGCAACCAAGTCTAATGCCGCGAAGATGGCTCAGCAGCCCTATCTTTACAATGCCGTGAGCAACGGTCGAGACTCACGATTTCCCGAGCCCAAGTTCGACCCTAAAGCAGTAACGCGTGCGAGTTGGGAGCCGAAGCCGCGCAAGCCCAAGCCCACTGGGCCGTTGGTCACTTTCAATCGCCATCCTGAGTGAGCATTTTCTGTGCAGTTGGATTTCATTTGCCCGAAAGCCCGGACTACCCGCTGATCACGTGCTGACCAACCGCAATCCAGCGCTCAGATGGTGCTGTCGCATAGGTCTAGCAATTATGTGTCCCTCAGTCCCCGGACGAAGAGCTGGATCAAGAGCATACGCATCGTCCAGCTGGCTCTCAGAGTCCTGCAACTAGTTGGGGCTGCAGGCCTGCTTGCCCTCCTTATCCTGCTGAATAATATCGAAGCTCTCGCTGGGTGGGTCATGCGTATCACGGTACGTTTGCTGTAAACGACGCGCTCATGTGATAACCATGCTAATGATAGCTAGCCCGGCGTCGTGATGGTACACTGTTTCTACGCCATTTACCACCTATCCAGGCCAGCCGGGGACCGCAGCCCTGCGTCATCCACCGCTTATCAACTCTTTTCCGGTATCTCTGACCTGGCCGCCATGCCTCTTTACGCATATGGTGCCTTGATGGCCATGAACAGTAGCTCAGCCTGGACGACTCGCTGGGTTGACCAGAGGCTCGTGGAATACTTTGTTCAAGCCGTCAGCTATGCATTCATCGGTGCTGGGGGCTTGCATCTAATATCATTCTGCATTTCCGCTTGGCTTGGCTTCATGTTTCGCAAAATCACTCAGATGCCTCCAGACATGAACCCCTTGGAGGACCATCTGACCTCGCGAGCTAAGCATAAGAGGAACAAATCCAGTGTCGCGACCAGCGTTAGCGACGAGGGCGAGAAGCGACTTTCTACGCCCCTTGAAGAGCGACATCGGTCCGGCGCACCGTATCAAGACCTTTCTCGACCGCCTAGCATTCCTTTCCAACGAACTCGAGCCGGCTCTGATCTGTCCAACCGCACACGTGGTTCTCATGCCGATCTCCCCAGTCGGCAATATCAGATCCCACTAGGAAACTCACCGAGAAACTCAGCCGTCGCTAGTGAATACAATCGAATGTCTATGCCTCGTTCTTCACCCCGTGGCTCTTACACTGAAGTTCCGCTTCACGAGACGAACAACCCCCGGTCTTCTATTTCCTCTGGAGTTATTCCCTCCCCGACCCAAGCTCGCAACGCAGGCAAATTCACCGAAACTTGGTTCGCCACAGACTCGCTTATCTCGCGCACGCAGAAGAGAAACCGTGCCATGGATGTCGCTGTTGCAGCAGAGAAAAAGCTTCCGAGTGATAAGGCGTACGAAGCTTTGGTCCAACGTTACAACGTGGAGGATTCCGATTCTGGAAACGATGAAAATGATCTGGCGGGTAGCGATTTCGAGAACGATCTTGGGAACCCTCACCCCAATCCTTTAGCATCAAACCCTCACCCGGCGAACGCACGAGCCAAGACATCGTTCTTGCCTCCCCGCAACTCTGCCTTATCTGAGGTGAATCTCAATTCCCGTCGGGCCAGCGGCAGCAATGATATTGCAGATGCGAGGCTTTCTGCGCTTGCGGGACAGCCGTGGCCACGCAACCGCGACAGTTCCATCCAGCCAGAGTCTGACTTTTACTCAAAACCCTATGGCGAGCTCAAGGCCGCAACACCCCCTGTCATGGTTGGCAATAACCGGCAAGTGTCGTCCGGTAATGACTACGACAATCAGCCCTACTCTTCCACCTATGGACGACGTAACGTGAGCGGCAAAGTCGCCGAGGAGGGTCTGGCTGGGTCGAAGAATGGCTATTCAAGGTACAGCGTGCTACAGGGCCGAGTTTGAACTTCAAAAGGCCTTGGACTGAGATGGGATGCTGTATGGTTTGGTCTACGGATTTGGGATTTTCCGGGAGTTGATTCGGGGACGATGTTACGATTTATGTCGACCTCAAATGCTGATGGCCAGCTCAGGCTGACTCGTTGGCGAAGACGCTGAACACCGCATGTACTGGATATTATGTTGTACTTAGCTAACAAGAAAGAGAGAGGTCCAGTCTGCGCACGATGACTGTTTTATCACTCCGGTCGTTCAGCTGTAAACAGAAAAACGTTCGTGTTTGCGCAAAATCTCCCTCAGGACAGATAGAAAACCGACTGGATTTAGGTCACTGTCTGAGACAGTTTCATGTGAATGAAACGAAATACAGTTTAGGGATTCATTAAAAGAAGAGATACTGCTCCAAAGACCATCTCGCGCCTTGTGCCTTTAGCCCCGGGCATATGTGGCCCAGTCCACGCCTGGTCTGTCCTCCTTCCACCCTATCTCATCCCAAGAGCCGAGCCCACTCAAATGGCGCATTGTTGGTCGTCCGTGGGGGCAATTCCAAGGCTTATCCAGCTCGCCCATGTGACGGACAAGCTTCTCCATCTGCTGATGCGCCAGAGCCCTTCCGATCATGACACTACTCCGGCAGGCACGCATGGCAAACATTGAACGGACCTTGGAGGGTCGTGGGGCGGAGACGCCCTCGTTAGATTGATAGTCCCCCAGGAGAGATATCAATTCTTCGAGGTCAGATAGCGTAAAGGTCGTCCCGTGGCTTAGAGGGAGAGCGAGAAGTTTGCATCGTAATCCCACAGGTTGATTGCCGGACCGGTCCACGTCCACCAGAAAGCCATTGGTGTTCAAGGCAGCAATGTTCTCCATCACAATTTCTTCCTCAAGAGCCGTGAGTTCGAGCTGCTTCGGATGCACAAGTCGCTGTGATTGTAGGACTGTCGTCGACTGCAGTCGTTCGAAGTTGTACTTCTCGTCCGAAGCATGCTGGTCAATGATGAAGAGCTCGTCATCGCTGCTAGAACTACCACCGTCCCCTTTGCCTGATGCGTAACGGACAGCGATGATGAAACCCAGGTTGAATTGGCCAACGATAGTCATCTTTCCAAAGTCAGCTTTTGTAATAATGAGGGAAAGGACTTCTTCAGCATCTTGCGACTCTAAGCCCGAGGCACTGAGGGTGTTGGTTTGACGTGAATTTGCTCGCTTCATTTCAGATGCCCACAATCTCATTTGAGTGTGCAGACCCCCCTCATTGATCTTTATGCTTTGCTCATGTTGTAGAGTGGCATCCTTCCGCTTGACTCCGGCTTTGAGAGCACTGGGCCTCTTACTGGAAGCCTCAGCTCGTTCCAACTCACCTTCCTCAGGCTGGTGCTCAGTTGCAACAGACTGATCCAGGGCTGCATCGTCGTCAAAACGAGATGACTTGAAGCTGTGTGCATCGATTTGGCTGTGGAGTTCTCCTGGGATACTTGGTAACTCTTCAACAAAGCTATCAGTCTCCGTTGCCTCGCTTGAATGATTCTCTCTAAAGGAACTGGGCAAATCGGACCCGTTTGCTTGGCTACCAACATCTGTGGCTGCGCTGATCTTGTCTAGATCTTGCAAACTGTCATTGGCATTTCCCGCCTCATCTCTAGATCGATTGGCTGAGAATATCTGTGTCAAACGAGAGCCGAAGGATGAACCTAAGGCCGTGGGTTTGCTAATGGGGGATTTTGCATGTCCTGTCCCCTGATCAAGCTTCAATTTTTTAGCGTGTATTTCTGCTGACCCTACGACGGTGGAGTCTCCAATGATGATAGTAGCAACATCTGGAGCATGTCTTTTCGACATTCGTGGCGCCACTGCCGGCATGCTGTTGTCTGCCGGAGTCCTAATCGGCGTAACGGCTGGGATCTCAGCTTGGTTAGAGGCTTTTCCGCCTTCAGAGGTGCTTGGTACATGTTTTGACGGTGCTTCGGGGTCCTCTCGCTCATCCAGCTCGGCGAGACGAGCACGAAAGTCTAGCACCCTCCGAGGGGTTTCTAGTGTGTCTGCTGGCGTAGTATCCAGCACCTTCACTGGGGACTCTGGCGGCTCTTCAGCAACTTCATCTTCTCCTCGTGATTCACCAGGCTCTCCAGGAGTTGTCGATATCCTGGTATCGCCCCCCCTATTCAACCGCGGCTCGTCGGGTTCTCGACTATCTTTTGCTGTTCTTCCAACCCAGCGACTCATCAAATTTTGCGACTGTAGGTCTGCGGGTGATGTCTTCTTTTGCTGTGTCGCACGAGTCTTCCGGACTTGTTTGCTGCGCGGTGGGAATCGATCGTCTTCATCCTCAGAGCTTGAACCGTGGTTCTGGACGGCTGGGCGTGGCTCATTCGCTGTGAACGTCGACTTCTTGGTATTTTGTGCCTCGGTTTGAGTACCTTTGCCGTCGCCGTCGACCTCCGTGTTGATTACGGTGCCTTGGGTACCTCGATGAAGCTTTTGCGTGTACGACTGCCCCACTGGTATAGAGTAGTCCTGTGATCGGAAGAGAGCAGCCAAGGCCTCTCTTAAGTTTTCCAACATTCGATTTTGGTCATGCAAGAGGATGGTGCGTTTATCAGGGCTGACGTTGACATCATACAGATGTGTGTCGAGTTGAATGTCTGCTAATATAAAGGGGGATTGTGACGAGTTGTATGCCTTGTAAACCTCGTTGAAAACTTTAGCAAACTGAGGCAAGCCGCAAGGCCTCCCGTTGACGAAAAACATCTGGCGATCTGGAGTCTGGCGGCCTTCGCCATGCGCTGGCCGACTGACGTAGCCCTGAACACGGACTTCAGTAGAAACCTTTTCACTCCTCTGTGCATTTTTCACACCACGACTGACAGTGGGGTCGAAATCTAGCGACATGTCCAGCTTGACCAGAACCATCATCGTCTTGGCGCCAAAAATATTGACGAGGTTCTCACGGGTTGTCGGATTGCCTTTGGTGGAGAATAGAACGATGCGTTTGCCTTTGCTGGGCTGCTGTGATACGGTAAATTTGACACCTGTCTGGATGCAGGCATACTGGTTGAGGAGCGAAATGACCTTGTTCCATTCTCTTTTAATGTTGCGTTCGAGTTCGCGACGACGGACTGGCAGATTATGGAAAAGATTCTCGACGATGACATTGGTGCCTTTCTGAGCAGCAACAACACTGGTATTGCCCAGTTTGCCTGAAATTTCGAATTCGAGTCTGGTGCCTTTGGGAACGTCCTTTGCTAGGCAAGTGACGATACTGAACCGCGATAGGGCACATAGTGAAGACAGGGCTTCACCACGGAAACCAAATGTCTCAAGAGTTGCTAGATCGGAGTAGGTTGAAAGCTTCGAAGTGTAGTGCTTCAAGGCAATAGTATCGTAGTCGTCATGCGAGATGCCTGAGCCGTTGTCTTGAACCTCGATCGAATCGAGACCCTGATTCTTGAAGCGAACGTCTTCGATGAGCCGTCAGCAAGCAAGGGTGGGAAAAGAGAAGAACGGCTAGGACGTCTGGATTGAAATGAGCTTGGCAACCATACCTACGCTACTGGCGCCCGCATCGATGCTGTTTTCGACTAATTCCTTGACAACAGAACAGAGATCAACGATGACTTGGCCAGATTGTATTTGATGCACCTTCGAGAATTGTCAGCAGGGGGTTGTAATTTTATTATTTTCAGGGGGCCGTGTAATCAAGCTTACGGTGCGGCCCTCGATGGGCTTAATAGTGGCCATTTCGACGGTGAGTTTCTTCGAAGTTCAATACTCCATACATTTATTCCTTCAAGAGGATGGATCGAGTGTGTCATTGAACCGGAAGACGCGCCAGGCGCGTATAGTGTGTTTGCCGGTGAGGTGCATTTGGGTCGCGACTTGGTAAGGGAGGCAGGTAGGTTACCTGACATAAGCAAGGCCGCTAGGTAGTTGAGTTACCACGGTACCTTGTCCTCCTTGCGGCCACTCACCCAAACACAAGACAGCGCGCCCAAGTCGCCACGCTAGATGCACTGCCACTGCCGCCTTGGCACACTCTGAAGGACGCGTTTCCAGGGTTCCAAATATCGTGCTTTTTTCGCATAGTGCATGCTTTTTGCATCGGCCTAAAAAGGCAATAATTTGACCCACTTTTCTAGAATAACGTATTAATCTAGCGCGTTTTACCTGATTAGGCTAGCTATAAGCTTTTTTTAACTACTAACCCTCTACTAGGATTATAAATTATACGTTTTTTCCTCCTATAACTAGTATTACCCTAAATTACTACTTAACTACTATAATAGCTACTTATAACGCTAAAGCCTCTTAAATATAGTTATAGTTTTAGAATTTTATAGATAATATAGCTAAATTACTAAAAGTCTAGTATAAATATTATAGCTAGGTTACTATTATTAGTATTATATATTAAGCTACCTATTTTAAGAGATATAATTTATACTAAAATGCTTAAGCTTACTTTATACTTCTAATTACTACTACCCTCTAGTAATTAACTACTATAGAGGAATTTAAAACCCTTATTAATAAGTTGAACTATAAAGTAGCTTTTACTATATTTGCTAATAGGTATACTTTTACTATTTATAAAGATTAATAGTTTTATAACTTCTTTTAAGTACTATAACCCTACTAGAAGCCTCTATTAGTATATATTTTATATAAGGTTTACCTACTATATATCTATAATAATATTCTTACTAAAGTCTAACTTAATATTAAAAAAACGCCCTACTTTAATATTACTTTTAATAGCTCTACTAACTTAAGTAATAACTACGTTATTAATATATTAATATATATCCCTAATAGCCTTACTTTTTACTAGTATACTTAGGTAACTACTAACTACTTTTATAATATTACTACTAGTATTAATAAACTCTTACCTATCCTAGAGGATATTATAACTACTTAAAGCGTTATTAAACTCTCTTATATTAATAGTATTACTATAGATATAAATAGTATAATAAGATCTCTCTATAATAACCTATTATAATTACTCTCTCTCTACTACTACTTACTTATCTTTTATAACTTATATAGTATTTAACTACTTATTAGTAATATCTATAAGTTAGTATCTTACCTACTTATTATTTAAAAGGTTACTAAAATTATAGCTTATTTCTATAATACTAAGTTATAGTTAGTATACTTATAGTAAGAGTAAAAGAAGGTCTATAATAATAAGTAGAAGTTACTAATTACTTTATTATTCACTTACTAAAGTAATATAAAGTAGTACCTCTACTCTATACTTAACTCTAAAGTTACCCTACTTAATTATATTACTTACTTAGATATTACTAAATAATACTTTAATACTATTAGAGAGGGTACCCTTATACTTATAGTTAGTATTATTACCTTAATTAATAATAAATTCTTTTAGATTAAAGTAGAGGCTTTATAGTGCCTTCTTAAGCTAGTTACCTCTATAATTAAAACCTTTAAAACTAACTACTCTTATCTTAGCTATATATTACTATATTAGAACTCTCTATAAGAGATATAATAAGCTATTAAGGCTAGTAGTAACCTTAATATTAATTAACTACTAATCTAATAGAAGTATAATATATACTATAAAAAGTAGTTATACCTAATTAATATTATTACTACTACCCTTATACTATAAATACTTAAGTACTTATTAACTAATAAGGAGTATAAGATAACTTTTACTTACTTTAATAGCTATACCTCTACTCTTAAGATTACTTATATTTAGCGTATTAAACTTATTAATCTATAGTATACCTAAGAGCTTCTTTTTTACCTTATTATAGCATTTTAGGACCTTTAGATATAGCTATATATAGCTTAAGGGTTAGTAAAGTTAATAAGGTTATAATTAGTAACTTTAGCCTTATAATTATTTAACTATATCGCTATATCTATACTTTCTAAGAGAAGCTTCTTAATACTTAATTATATATATAACTATACTTATAATAGATTAGATCCTAATATAGCTAATAAGCTAGCTTTTATCTATATAAATAGCTACGTTCTAAATTATTTATATACCTAAAGAGGTAGCTACTTATTACTACTACTACTATTAATATAAGAGATAATTACTAAAGAAGAGTTAGTTAAATTAGAGTAGTAGATTCTAGAGGGCTTAGAGATAGAAGTACTACTTATAGACTTAGATATCCTTACTTAGCTAATCGATTTATTTTATAGTAGAGATTATACTAATAAGCGAAATTTACTTACTTCAGCCGAAAAAAGTAGTGCTTTTTATGCCTTTGCCGAAAAAAGCGAAGTGATGCAAGTGGTGCACGGGAACCCTGCGCGTTTCTTGGTAGTAAAAAAATGCTTGACATTCGGGACTTATAGGGTAAGTGGACACTAGAAACGTGGGCCGTCAGTCCGCTAATCTGGTAGTCAGCAGATGCGTACTTAGCGACCAATTACTGCCGAAAAGCCATTCGTAATCTTTCTCCGGAGACAAGATACGGTTCGCTGAAGAAAGACAAATTGTACAGAGGCCGGCGTCTCAAGGAACAAGGAAACGGCGACCATATCTGGCCTCGTTACAAGCGCAGTGCTGGCCCACGAAACCCATCGCCTCTGAGATTTTGGGAGTCGTAAGCTCGTCATTGGTCCTGAGCAGTGACCTTACAGAAAATCCACGGGTACACGACAAAGGTCCATGAGTACCGTGCCGAACAGGGGTTTGATGGGCTTGTGGCAGATCGGGCCGTTGTCTGAGGTGTCCACTGCGAATTACCCGTCTAGGTACATCCAGTCCACAGCCAAGACATTCATACATAAGGTATTGACTTATTGAAGCCATTGGCGGCGGAGCTAGCCATCTCTACCGCTACAGTGGATATCTGTAGATGGAAGAAAACGTGCAGAGCACAGCGCCGTAACGGAGATTACCTGCCGTTGACTGCGTCGGATCTCGATCTTGTTCTGGCCAGGCTTGGTGAGCTCAGCGGATCAACGAACCTGGTCTGGCTTATCTTTGAGGCTACTTTGTGGTCGCGTATTACTCTTGCATTCCAAGGTGGCGGGCGTGAGCGTACGTGCCGGAAGTAGATGCAAGGCCGGAACCAAAACAAAATAAAAAGACAGAGGATGATTATGTCAAAAGAAAAGAAGAAGAAAAAGAGGGCAGCGACCAACACAGCGTTTGCTGGAGAAACAAGCAGAAAACGTTTCATGTCACATTGGGGTAATGATAGGCGGTTAGAGGGCCAGGGATGCCGGGGCAGCGCGTGAGATCAGAGGGAAAGGAGACCGAGAGGGACCAGGGGTCTACCTAACACACCATGCTTCCGTAATCAATGCAAGGCCAGCTCTTAGCCTGGACCTATCACTACCTATGCACGAGTACAAGTGTAGGGTGCATTTGAGGCAATTATTTTTTCTGCATTTACGGTACAACAGCAAATCGGGAGGCCCGGGTCGCAGAAGCTTCTGAGAACGACCTTCACAAGGCACCTAGGTCGGCGAGCATGTTAGTGAGGAGGCAGGTAGGTGCCTGTCTAGAGAAATACCTACTACCTAGGCAATTTATCCAGAGGTACCTATCGAACCTTACCTGGAGATAAGGGGATGGGTGATCAGGTACCTTGAGGTAGAAGAATGAAGAAACGAGGTAATCTAAGGCACCTACTTACCAGGTACATGTAAAGCACATGCGGTAGGTATTCGGCTTATCACTGCCCGCATTCCCAGCCCAACGCAGCGGAACCGCGGGAACTTTCAATGCACTGTCAAAGCCTGCACAGCCGCTGGTTATTCGTCCATGACAGCGCATCCAGAACCACAGGCCACTTCAGGCCCCAATTGACATTTCCGAGCCTCTACAGGTACCTACCTTAGGCACGTAGGTCTGCAGGCGCTCTCTGATGGGGGTCTCAAGAACACCTATTAGCCGACCTCTCACTTGTGCTAGGTAGGTTGCTGCAAGCCCAATGTACCTTACCCGCCTTACCTACCTTACCTACCTAGATACCTCAGGTAGCTCGGTACCTAGCACCACGTAGCGTCCCACCCCCCAAAACCCTTCCGCATCACAGTGCATCAGCTCAGCGTCCCAGTACCCTTACTCGCTTGTTCCAAAGGTGAGGTAAGTCCCTTCTAGTAGCATGTGTCTCTCTTTCTCTCGTCCCTCTTCTCGCTTGTCCGCATCGTCTCTAACCTACGATCGCCCCAGCTCCCATTCTCCCCTTCTTTCCCTCCCAAACGTATCCCAACGGCTCAATCGACCGACTACTTCCTCCCAAGGAAGACTCGAGCGAGCCCTCTCCATCCATGAAGAGGCGCTCGTCGGGTTCGACCGACGACAGCGACGAACCTCTTGCTGAGCCTCCTGTAACCACGATCCAAGAGCCTGCTCGCACCCGCAATTCTGTCGCCCACCCCAAACACCTGCCAGTTGCCTCGAGACCGTCTTCTGCGAGGAGTAGACGATCAATCAACGCCAATTGGAAGCTCGAACATGGACCGAATGTATCATTCGACAACCGTCCCATAACTGTTTCTCCGTCGCCTTTGCCAGACCCATCCCTGGCCGCGCCGTTGCCCTCATCCTCTTCCGCTCGTCGAAGCAACACACAGCGCCAACCCCCGAACAACCACCACCACCACCCCCAGTCCGTAGTCCGTGTCCACCAACTCGACGACAACGACGGAGATCGCGCCCTCGCCACCGACGAAGGCGGAGACGACGACGACGAGAAAGCCTCCATGACCACTGAAAATATGGCTGAAATGCGCTTCACTAGTAGTCGCTCTCGATTTCGTGGCCCGTGGTCCATCACCATTCTCGCCCTTGCTATCACTGTTCTTGGCATCACCCTGCTTTGCGCCATATTGAATTCGTCCTGGACCCGTCAGCTCGATGCCAAGGGATGCCGAATGTCTTACATGCGACCCACGTATATACGTCTGCGCGACTTCGACACGGAACATACCCGCTTCGCGACGAAATATTCTCTGTATTTATATCGCGAGCAAGGCGTTGACGACGAAAGAAAGGTAGGTCTTTGGTCTCTTGCGCCTACGCGGCATTCCATGTTAACATAGGCTCTAGTTGAGAGGTGTACCTGTTTTATTCATCCCAGGCAACGCTGGAAGCTACAAACAAGTTCGTCCGATAGCAGCAGAGGCCGCAAACTATTTCCACGAGTCCCTACAACATGACGAGGCTGCGGCCGCCGCTGGTGCCCGCAACCTTGACTTCTTCACCGTCGACTTCAACGAGGATATCACTGCATTCCATGGACAGACCATGCTGGACCAGGCGGAATACCTGAACGAGGCGATTCGGTATATCTTGTCTTTATATATGGACCCGCGAATGTCAGCTCGAGACCCGGACCTGCCAGACCCGACGTCCGTTTTGATCCTGGGCCACTCCATGGGCGGCATCGTAGCGCGCACCATGCTCATAATGCCCAACTACCAGTCTTACTCGATCAATACCATCATCACCATGTCTGCCCCGCATTCCCGTCCTCCTGTCACTTTTGATGGGCAGATTGTAAAGATCTACGAGGACATCAACGATTACTGGCGCAGAGCTTACTCGCAGAAGTGGGCCAACAATAACCCACTGTGGCACGTTACTCTCGTCTCGATTGCTGGAGGGGGCTTGGACACGGTAGTACCATCTGACTATGCTAGTGTTGAGTCGATAATTCCCGAGACCCACGGCTTCACCGTCTTTACCACCGGTATCCCCAAGGTCTGGACCAGCATGGATCACCAGGCGATTCTATGGTGTGACCAGTTCAGAAAAGTTGTGGCACGAGCTATGTACGACGTTGTTGATGTCCATCGGTCATCGCAGACAAAACCCAGAGCCGAGAGGATGAGGGTGTTCAAGAAATGGCTTCTCACGGGTATGGAGTCCATTGCCGAGAAAACATTGCCTTCCGAGGGTCCATCTACGCTGCTCACACTGGAAGACAACTCAAATGATATCATGGCCCAGGGCGAGCGTTTGGTATTGCGTCAACTGGGACTGAGTTCGAAACCGAGGGCTCATTTGCTCCCTGTTCCCCCGCAAGGAACCCCAGAGAAGCGATTCACTCTTTTGACTGACGTTGGCCTCGACAAATCGGGGGAGCACGGAAAGCTCGAAGTGCTCTTTTGCAGCGTGTTCCCCCTCCAACCTGGTCAGGCCACGACCTTGTTCTCCTTGAATATGGACCTGTCAGGAGACAGTACAGGGTCCACTCGACTGGCATGCAAGAACGCCGCAAACGACGCCATGCTGTTGCCCGCTTCAACCAAGTCCCATCGTCATCCGTTCGCCGTTGACAGTGAGCCTGCGACACGTCCATTTTCATATCTACAATATGACACCGAAGACATCGCTGATCATCAGTTTATTGCTGTTATCGACAAAGCACTCAAGCCTACGACAAACTTCGTCGTAGCAGAGTTTAGCGACCACTCGCAATCGCACAGGACGCGTAATATTAGCCTTCGACGACTGTTGGCGTTTGGCATGACATTGAGGCTGCCAGCTAGCCGCCCTATGGTGGCGGAAATCAATGTCCCTGCTCTTCAGTCCAGCTTGCTAGCTTATAACTTGGAGGTCGGCAATCAGGTCTGCGGCGGCAAAGCTGAGATATTTTCTCCGTTGATCCGTCAGTATCTCGCTCAACCGTACGAGTCAAAATATTTTGTCAACGCTCGACATGCCAGTGTCAGCATTCATGGAGTGGCGCCATTTGTCCCTCCCCCATTGCGGCCAAAGAGGCACGATGAACAGGGACTGAGCTTTCAATTCTGGACAGACCCGACTTGTGAGTCCAGCATTCAAGTCAAATTAACGGTCGACACCTTGGGAAGTCTTGGAAAGCTGTACATGCGATATCGAACGGTTTTTGCAGCATTCCCGCTGCTGGTGGTAGCCCTCGTGCTTCGCAAACAGTTCCGGGTATACGACACGACAGGCACGTTCATCTCGTTTTCTGAAAGTCTGGATCTCTGTTTACGACAATCTCTACCACTCATGCTGCTGTCATTGACCTTTCTATCCTTGTCAATGACAGGATCATGGCCAACAGGGCCTGGTGGGTTTTGGCATTGGCGCAACACAACGTCTGCTGCGGGCGACTTCCAAAGCAACGATCTCCTGACGGGTACACAAGATCCTTTCTTTTGGTTTCTTATACCTCTCATCGGGGTCGTTTGCATCGGTGTTTGCGCCGTGCTCCATTTCGTTACTCTGGCGCTTACACAACTTCTTGGCGTTGTCTACTCTTGGGTAGCCGTTCACCCCTTTGGCCATGGTAGTAGAGACGAACGGCGGAGAGCCCATTCGCCTATATTTGTTCCATCCTCACCTCGACGTCGCATGATAACCACCGCCATCCTACTATTTCTGGTTTCAACCTTCATTCCGTATCAGTTCGCGTACTTGGTGGCATGTCTCGTCCAGCTATTCACAGTTGTAAGGGCTCTCAGAATAGCCTCAGAAAAGTCTGCACCAGCGTATGACTTCTATCACTACGCCCACTCGATTCTGCTGCTCATGCTATGGGTACTTCCCATCAATCTGCCGATATTAGCCGTCTGGATCCGCAACCTCGCCGTACACTGGCTTACACCATTCTCATCGCACCATAACGTACTCTCCATCATGCCGTTCATTTTACTAGTGGAGAACATGACTACTGGCAAAATGGTGCCGAGGGTCACTGGCAAGCTCCGACATTTGACCAGTGTGCTGCTATTCGGAACGGCAATCTACGCCGCTATCTACGGGGTTTCTTATGCATATATGCTACATTACCTCGTCAACCTGGTGGCAGCATGGCTGGTCGTGATTCACTCTACAGCAGAAAATTGGCACCTAGCGGGCTTCAGCTCGATATTTGAAAACGGTTCAAATGCGGATCGAAAGGGCGGCAAAACACCATAGGAAACCGGCGCGACACCATGTCGGGTGAAGTGAACGGCACGCGATGTCTAGGCAGCCGGTTCGCACCGACTTCATTGAAAGCCACCCTCTTTTCATTTCTCGCACACTGTACATATGAGGCAGTCCCAAAAACCCCCTCGCCGTGGGTACTGCCCAGGTGCTCCTTGGTCAGGTGTTCTTGTCTTCTCCAATATAGACGTCTCGGCTTTCTTTGCTTGGCGCCAGAACCTCTCTTGCCTCGGTTTGGTGCCCAGCTAAAACCGGACCTTTAGACCACGATGTCGGCGTCGGCACAGTCTTTCGTGGTTTTATTGTTTTGTTCGTTTGCATCTTGCATTGGCTTGGAGTTCATACGGTATCTGGCTGGAGGCGCTGAAACGAACAAGTTTCCGCCTGGAATGGGCATGGCGCCTTTTAGCACACCCCGGCTTGGTTTATTCTTGTTTTTCCCTTCGCTCTTTTCTTGACGCTATCGTAAGGGGACGAACGTAAATGTATGCCTGGAGCTTATGGATTCGCTACAAGAGACGGAGAACAGGTTACAAAGGGCATTTTCGCTTTACAAGTGACTGCCATAATGCTGCACCGGGAGGAGGGATTTCTAGCGCTTGATGCGATTTTTTTAATGCGCCCGCGGTTCAAATGAGACCGCAACCTCAACATCAGGGAGGTGTTGAACAACTGTTAGGACGAGGTCAGGGAGACCAATATGATTATTAGTTGCGCCCACACGACAGCCCCGCACTTGCCAGGCATTAGAGGCACAGCAAGCGGTGCTTGGGTTGCACGAAGAGCGCGAAGGGGTAATGGAAACAGTGCAGACAGTTGGAGCGGGCCCTTGTGTTCACTTGGGCACATGCATCATGGCTGATGGGGTGTCACGATCTTCTCGCTGCAGCGCTTGATGCAGATGAAGTGCTTGCGAAATGCTAAGTGCGAATTTCACGAAAGTTAAGAAGGAAAGCTACCATCATTCTATGACCAGAGTGCGCCATTGCCCCATGACAAAGTCTCTCAAATCTAACGCCCGCCGTCTATGTGACATTGTCATTTGTGGTGTCTACGCCATATCGGCGACGACCACGTTTAGAAGTGCTTCTTCTCCACTGTTGAGACCGGCAGGTTTTCTCCTCGGTATCAAAGATCTGTTGTAGCTGACACGCAGCCAGTCCAATAACAACTTGACGATTTGCCATACTAATCCAGCTGTTCAGCTTTGTCCTTCTCCTCCTTGGCCCACTTCACGCGTTGGTGTCGGATGACCCAGAGCGTCAGAACTAGGCCAACCGAGCACGACGCCAAGGTCATAAGATAGGCGGCACGGTAGCAATCAAGCCCGTCATGGCAAACGCGTTCGCCGTCCGGGCCAAGAATGCTGTGCTGATCGTAGATTTTGCCGTAAAAGATGTTGAAAATGTTGCCCGAAACAACAGGAGAGAGTGTCATCAAACCCCAATTCTGGCTGAGGCCGTGGATGCCGAATGTTTCAGCAACGATTGAGGGGAAGACACCAAAGAGGAAGCCATAGGCGATGCCTGATAAGCCAGAGACCAAGCCCAAGAGGTGAGGATTGGTGACATTCAGCGCCAGAATTTGAGCGACGAAAAACACGGCGCTGGATGCGACAAGGCACCATACCCGACTACCGTGAAGGACCTTGACAATGAAATCCGAGCCAACACCTTTTCGCGACAGGTCAGTTTGGGGTTTGTGTGGCCTGGCCAAGTCGGGGAAGACATACCACTCAGCAGTCTGCCGGCAAAGCTGCACAGTGATAGGATAGAAACGTGCAGCTGTTGCATGGTGATGAGGTATGCCTCATCAACTGATTCGTCCCAGTGGCGCCAAAGTGCTTTCACGTCGTTACCGATGTTGCTGAGAATGCTGTTTAGCACTTGATTTACACAGATAGCGGAAGGAAATATGAGGAACGTACTTGATAGTCATCAACCCGATACCGGTCAGAATGCCCATGATGCAAAACAGCTGCCAAAAGTCGAGTTCACGAAACAGGTGCCAACCACGAATATCTACACGATGAGAACGATCCATATCAACACTACTCTGAACAAACACATCACCGGGCATTGAAGAGGAGCTCGACACTAGCGAGGACGTCTCGTCGGGCTCGTAATCATCGGCGTCGTCGACGGCTTCGATTTGCGCCTCATCAGCCTCGCGAGACGGCGCAGACGGTGCATTCCGAGGGGAAATCGGCTCGTTGTCGGCGGTGGGATTGAGAGTGGTTGTAGTAGTATTGTTTGTGTTTTTGGGCGACGTACCAGGTTCAACCAAGGAAGAGCGGCGCCCATGACCGGAGCGGTTGGCTTTTGCCTCCTCCGAGGACGTACGATGAAGCTGCTGTGAGCCGGACAGGACGTCACTGGCGGGCAGGCTATGGTAGCTGGTATGGGGCCAGACACGCAGGAAGAAGAAGCCGAGGAAAGTTAAGCCGCAGGTTCCAAAGGAGAGTAGGGCCAGGAAGGCGCTGGTATTTCCCGGAAAGAAGAGGGTGCCGCATGTTGAGAAGAAAAAGGCACTCAGGCCAAACGCAGCGAGGGGGAAAGCAGTTGCAGTGCCGCGATGATGAGGCCAGTTGAGGGCGGACGTCTTGACAGCGGCAGCAAAGGCCATACAGCCGCCGAGGCCGGTTAGGTACGAAAAGAAGCAGAGAAGCGGGACAGCGCCGGCCGCGCGATCGTAGGCAATATGGAAAGGGAAGTAACCGAGAGCAAGCAGAACGGAACCACCAATGACTGCAGACCGAGGGCCTTTATGATCGACTAGCATGCCGACGGGAACGCCTAGTGAGTACATTCCCAAGTTGGCTGAGAGGCCGATGACGTTCGTTTCAGTCGAGGAGAGTTTCAATCTCTCGGCAAATTGTGGTGCCCATGCTGAGTAGACGTACTGCACAATAACAGCTTGTTAGCGGCCGTGGTCCTTTCGCGAACATGGTGCTTTTGGGGAACGATCCAGGCGCCAACTCACGTTGGTGCCACAGGCAAGGGAGATGACGGTTGCCGCAACGCTGGCGACGAGGCGCGCGCGGTGCAGCTCCTTCTCCCTCTCTTTCGGGTTGGCCATTTTATATAGTTTCGAATCGAGGAACGCGCGTTTTCAAGCTACCATGCTTTGAGAAAACAGAAGACTGTCGGGGTCGGTTCGTTGGTACCACTCGGGGAAGAGACGATCAGCGGAAGCGATGGTGGCAAACTCTCGAAGAGATGAAGATGATTATTGGAATGTTTCGGCTCAGTGTACTTGGACTATCGGAGGTGCAATGATCATGGCGATGCGGGTGAGACTGTAGCCATGCAACATGGAGATTTCAGAAGAAGTAGCAGCCGTATAAAGCCCGTAGTGTTGAAGAAGGGATGGCCGGGGGCGACAGCGGTCGTGGTAGGCGTCGGAGTGTAGTTGGTGGTAGACGGGAAGCAGATGGCGGAGGAGGTGGTGGTGGTAGTGAGGTTAAGAGGACAGGACGATGCCGGATCCCTTATCTTTGGGATCACGAATCCTCCTGCGGAGTGCGGAAATCGCAACGTACCTTGGGTGCGGATACTCGTGGTAGGTTCCCTGACCTGCTCCGTGCACCTGCATTTGCTAGGGAGATACAGGGGTCGCGGAGGTTCAGGGAGGTCTTGGGAAGAAAGCAATTGGGTGCCCCCTGGGGATGGGCTCCTCGGGCTACCTTGCGACGCTGCAGCAATCTGCTTTCCGGTACAAGTGGCTTGCCAAATCGGCCAAACCACTACGTAACGAGTACCAATGGTCGTCTAGGTATTACATACTGTTAACGTAAAAGCCGTAGTACTCGATACATTGCATCTTCTGGGCATCCAGGCGTGCATCGCGTGCATGTGTCAAACGGACGGGCCTGCCACGCCAATCTCGCTATCTCTGCCCTGTTGCTGCTGTCGCCTGATTGCTATCCTGGCCCAGCCTGAGCCTGAAGACGGTACGCAGTCCAAGAGCCCCTGCAGACAGCAAGTGGCTATTGATCCTGAGGTACGGAGTACTCTGCTCAAGAGCTCCCCCCCATTTCCGCCGGGCAATCTGTCAAACTTGGCCCTTATGTCTCGGCAACCGCTCTCTGGATACTTAAGTAAGATCTAAGCAGGCGGTCATTTGACCTGTAGACAAAGTTGTCAGGTGGCGCTAGCACACCTCAGTAGTTGCGGCTGGCCCAGCAAATCGAGCCTTGGAAATCGGGTGGGAGATGAATAAGTCCTTCTTCTTATATGTAGTACAGAGTCCAAAGTTCCGGGTGTATGATCCGTGGCCGATACAAAGGCGGGGTTGCGTATTAACAGTTGCAGATGCCGAGGTACGAGCAGTCGTTGCATGACTGTAGAATAGATAAGATGCTGAGTACCAAAGGGGAAACATTATTTTACGTTTGTGGCCGGCATGCATGAAGCACACATTTTGAAGTGGGTTTGAGCTGATAACATACGGCACGCGAGACAACTCGACAATGCCGTGCTTCGTGCCAAATGCACCTGGAACCCCCAGCGAATTTGAAACTCAAGCAGACCAAGACCCTTGGTGCACAGCGGATGGTTTGCTCTAGCAGGTCAGTCCAATCATTCACATTTCGGGTTTCATTGCACTGTCCAGTATGCTTGGATTGAGGCAAGTCGGGCTATCGCAAGTTGGTAATTAGCAGGTGGGTTCCATGACGACGGGGCCAGTGCCTTCGGAAGTCTTGCAGTGCCGGCCGACCTCCGCCGACGTCGGCCTCTCCGCGAATCTAAGCCTAGGTACCTAGAGAATCCAGCGCGTTACAAGTGTATGTAAGTAGGTGATAGGTTGAGGTGGGGCCGGAAATTCGGAGTGACATACCCGTGGACCCGACCTGTACTAGTAGAAGTCCCCGCCGGGCCGCTACCTTACCGCCTTGGATTATGTAATACATACAAGTACTCTGTACTAGGCAAGGTAAAAGGTAAGGTGCCTAGGTAGTGAAGACAAGGTACGTAATCGCACGTGCCCAC